AGATTATGAAGGTTCAGCATGATCTTGAACCAATGCTGATAAAAAAAAAAATGTGTAAGACAAAAGGCCCTTAGGAAATGTTACCCTATGAAGTGCCACTGGAATTTAACACACTCTAAAGATGAAAATCCATCAGAAGCAGCACAATATTGGCAGCTGGACATGCCAGCCAGTGCAACCCAGCCTGTGTGTGTTTTGTTTCTGCTTCTCGAAAGTGCTTTCAAATCCCAAATCAATCAATCAGGGTTCTTCCTCCTCTCTTTCTCACTTCCCTCTACTCTTTCTATCGTCTCCTTCTCCCTGTCTCTTTACCATCTATCTGCCTCTCTCTCCTTCCTTTCCCTTTTCCCCTTCTTCCTCTTCTCCATCTTTCTTCCCCCTCCCTCTTTCTTCCTCTTATTTCTTCATCTTCCCTCCTTCTCTGAAAGAACTATGTTCATCATCTGATTTATGATGACTTTGAATTCATCTGTATAATTTTATACAAAGCTATATTTTATCATTTAGGTTTTCTTGAATAGTAACTGTTTTAAGAATCATTTTTACGTTGGCTTTGTGTACATTTTGGATTTTTTTCTTCCCTACAGGATTATGATTTCAATTTTTTATTAAATATAACCATCAACAAAGAAAATGGAGTTGTAATCTCTCTTAGTAAAATCCCCACTCTTGATGCTTTTGCTATCTTATCACTTGTGCTTCATCCATATACGGGTAACATCTATATGTGCTTACAACATTGGTATGCATGGAATTATTTTTGAAAAACAAATTTGTTTTTCAAAATATTTTTTGAAAAACAAATTTTCAGTTAAATTGTTGTTTAGTGATTGTGGTTCAACACAAGATTCTTTTAACTTAAACTCAGAATACTCTGTGAATTTAGCCTTTGCATTGGAACCATCAAACATTAGTCTAATATGCTTTATATGGGACTCTCTCAGCAAAGTTCTGTCTGCGTTAACCAGCTTATTCTATGACAAGTTGCTTAACAGATGTCATTCTGGGGAGAACAATGAAGCCAAATACTTGTGCAATGGCTAACATTACTCTAACTTTGATCACTTTTGTTCAGCACATCAGTCTGGCGTTGTGCTTTATACCAACATAACACTATAGCCAGAACATGGTTTTCAGGCTTAGAATAGCAAAGGAATGTTATTCAATTCAGTGCAGTTACAGATGAGTTAATGAAAGAAGAAAATACTGTTTATTTCATAATACCTTATTGTTGTATTTTGGAATTAAGGTGGAATTTAAAGAATCCCACTCCAAAGTTATTTGTTTATATACACATAGTATTTGTGTATATTACAATGCTAGGGTAGCTTTACCACCTTCCAAAAGGATGTAAATATTTGTCCTGCTTTTTTGCAAAAATAGCTGATAAGATTTGTTATATCTAGACAACATAATCAAAAATAATTTTAAGAAAGAGTTTTGTCTTTTTTTTGCCTCACAGCCTAAATACTCCTTGTACTCCTTCTTCTATCCTTCTCTCTTTTATTAATATAACACTTTAGGTTCGTGGAATACATTTCTCTTTAAGAACACTAATGTTTAAAAATGACAAAATAATAACAACTAGTGAAAGTGGTTAGAGGTTGACCCAAATGCATTTGGTTAAATTGTTGGGTTGATAATGACTGATAAAAATTTCCAAATGCTGGCCAGGTGTGGTGGCTCACGCCTGTAATCCCAGCACTTCGGGAGGCTGAGGCTGGCAGAGCACCTGAGGTTGGGAGTTTGAGACCAGCCTGACCAACATAGAGAAACCCTGTCTCTACTGAAAAAAATACAAAAAATTAGCTGGGCATGGTGGTACATGCCTATAATCCCAGCTACTCCGGAGGCTCAGGCAGGAGAATTGCTTGAACCCGGGAGGTGGAGGTTGCAGTGAGCCGAGATTGCGCCATTGCACTCCAGCCTGGGAAGTGAGAGTGAAACTCTGTCTCAAATAAATAAATAAATAATTTCCAAATGATATGACTGACTACAAACAAAATATTGCATGGTAGATTAGCCATTTGCTAAGAAAACCTGTTGGTTTGAATTGAATATGGATCAAGCCGTGCCCAAGCTCCTCAGTATTTATTTACTAAATCTTTTTTCCACAGGTAGGAATTAGAGATAAAAATAGAGTGACATTTGCGTTTTTGTTTTATTTTTTGTTTCTCTTTTCCCATAATGTACTTGTATCTCTGTTTCACTGGAATGGTTACTTAGATGTGATTATGTATAAGAAAGGGTAATGTGGGGCTGAGCACCGTGGCTCAAGCCTATAATCCCAACAATTTGGGAGGCCAAGGACAGTGGATCACCTGAGGTCAGGAGTTCGAGACCAGTCTGACCAATATGATGAAACCCTGTCTCTACTAAAAATACAAAAATTAGCAGAGTGTGGTGACACATGCCTGTAATCTCAGCTACCCAGGAGGCTGAGACAGGAGAATCCCTTGAACCCGAGAGATGGAGGTTGCAATGAGCCAAGATTGCGCCATTGCACTCCAGCCTAGGTAACAAGAGTAAAACTCTGTCTCAAAAAAAAAAAAGAAAAGAAAAGAAAAAAGGAAAGGGTAATGTGAAAGCCAAATGCTGTAACTGGACAACATGATAACATGATACTTCAGGCTACTCCATTTTTAAAACATAAATCATGATGCTTATTGAAGTATGAAGAACCCTATTGAAGTCTTCAGGTTTTGTTTTTTGAGACAGGGTCTCACTGTGTTATCCAGGGTCCAGTGGCACAGTCACGGCTCACTGCTGTTTCAATCTGTTAGGCTCAAGCAATCTTCCCAGCTTGGCCTCCCAAAGGGTTGGGATTACAGGTGTGAGCCACCATGCCTGGCCTCAAGTCTTAACATAATGCATATGATAGGAAACATTTCAACCCTAGCTTCATTTGATACAGTAGGATAATAATGCCATAATTAACTTGAAGCATTGGTTAAAATGGATAATCTCTCCACTCTGTTATGATTCTTTATTTGTGAATAAAAATTAAAATAAAAAATTAAGAGAGTTTTTTTTGGCGGGGGGACAGGGTCTTGTTCTGTTTGCTAGGTGGGAATGCAGTGGAGTGATCATGACTCACTGTATCTTCAACCTCCTGGACTCAAGCAATCATCCTACCTCAGCTTCCTGTGTAGTGGGGACTACAAGCATGAGCCACCATGCCTAGCTAACTTGTTATTTTTTGGTGGAGATGGGGTCTCACTATGTTGCCCAGGCTCATCTTGAACTCCTGAGCTCAAGTGATCCTTATAACTTGACTTCCTAAAGTGCTGGGATTACAGGCTTGAGTTACCATGCCCAGTAACACTTACGTTATTTTATGTTATTTATTTTTGAGACACAGTCTTGCTCTTTTGCCCAGGCTGGAGTCCAGGGGCATGATCTCAGCTTACCACAAACTCCGCCTCCCTGGTTCAAGGCATTCTTCTGCCTCAGTCTCCCAAGTAGCTGGGATTACAAGCGTGAGCCACCACACCTGGCTAATTTTTGTTTTTTTCACCATGTTGGCTAGCCTGGTCTTGAACGCCTGACCTCAAGTGATCCACCCATGTCAGCCTCCCTAAGAGCTAGGATTACAGGTGTGAGTCACCTCGCCTAGCCAACACTTCTTAATTGCTGGCTAACATAGAGTTTGATTTTCCACCACTTTATTCTGATAAATTTACCTCCTTTACTTTGAAAGTAAAAGGTATAATGTTACATGTTGGAAAAATAGTTTCTCGTCTTTACCAAATTTTTTGTATTTTCTTTTCAGGAAGCGCCTATAGCTCTGATGTTAGTAAATATTCAATTAGTTTTTAATTTAGATTTATTTCCAAAAAAAGAAAAAAACGCTTTGTGCTTTTTTTTACTTGTTTTTTTTTTTTTTTTTTGGTCAGTGGTGGGGACACAGAGTCTCACTCTGTTGCCCAGGCTGGAGTGCAGTGGCATGATCTTGGCTCACTGCAACCTCCGCCTCCCAGATGCAAATAATTTTCCTATGCTACTTTATTAATAAGTTTCTGTATCTTTGAAACTTACATCAAAACATAAAGGCAACTTTAGGTTTTGTTTTTGGTTTTGAATCATTGTACATTTCAATGATTAAATCAATTGTAAAAATTTATAACTGCACTTTGCCCTTAATAACTGTGTGCCTGAAGTTTCTTTCTTTATTTCTTTCTCCCTTTTTTTTAATTGTACTTTAAGTTCTGGGGTACATGTGCAGATCTTGCAGGAGTGTTGCATAGGTACACACATGCCACCGTGATTTGCTGCTTCCATTTCACTGTCACCTACATCAGACATTTCTCCCAATGTTATTCCTCCCCAACCTCCTCACACCCTGCTGTCCCTCCCCTAGCTCCCTAACCCCCAACAGACCTCAGTTTGTGATGTTCCCTTCCCTGTGCCCACATGTTCTCATTGTTCAACACCCTCCTATGAGTGAGAACATGCGGTGTTTGGTTTTCTGTTCTTGTGTCAGTTTGCTGAGAATGATCGTTTCCAGATTCATCCATATCCCTTCAAAGGACATGAACTCATCCTTTTTATGGCTGCATAGTATTCCATGGTATATATGTGCCACATTTTCCTTATCCAGTCTATCATTGATGGACATTTGGGTTGGTTCCAGGTCTTTGCTATTGCGAACAGTGCCGCAACAAACATACACATGCATGTGTTTTTATAATAAAACGATTTATAATCCTTTGGGTGTATATCCTTGACTAAAAAGAAATGAAGTCAGCCGGGAGTTGAAAACAAGAGAGGAGGGATATTTCTTGAATTATTATTTTATGTAGTCTTCATTGAGAATCTGCTTTTAAATTTGGTTTTGTTCTTTTTAAGAAAAATTTTTTGACTTAGGTTTTTATTGTTTCAAATTCTTGTTTCGAACCTAGAAGGAGACAGGACATACACTGTATGTCTCATAAATTGACTGGAAACTATAAGTTATGTGAAAATTCAATTTTAATTGTGCTGTCTCTTTCTTTTCATAGGTAAAGAGAAATGTATATGACCTTACAAGTATCCCTGTTCGCCATCAGCTATGGGAGGGCTGGCCAACTTCTGCTACAGACGATTCAGTAAGTGACAGTTGAATTCTGAGTTTTACATTCTCCTCTCACTTTTGCCACTTTCAGTCTAATTGGCTTTGATAATAAGCACAATCAAATACTTTTGAGTGTTCCATTGAAAGAATTATCTAGCTGGGCTTGGTGGCTCACACCTCTAATCCTAGCACTTTGGGAGGCTGAGGCAGGTGGATCACTTGAGGTCAGGAGTTTGAGAATAGCCTGGCCAACATGGTGAAACCCCATTTCTCCTAAAAACACAAAAATTAGCTGGATATGGTGGTGGGTGACTGTTATCCCACCTACTCAGGTGGCTGAGGCAGGAGAATCGCTTGAACCTGGGAGGCAGAGGTTTCGGAGAGCCAAGATTGTGCCATTGCACTCCAGCCTTGGCAACAAGAGCAAAACTCCATCTCAAAAAAAGAAAAAAAACCAGAAAGAATTATCTAAACCAGGCATCCCCAAATTTTTTACACAGGGGGCCAGTTCACTGTCCCTCAGACCATTGGAGGGCCGCCACATACTGTACTCCTCTCACTGACCACCAATGAAAGAGGTGCCCCTTCCTGAAGTGCGGCGGGGGGCCGGATAAATGGCCTCAGGGGGCCGCATGCGGCCTGCGGGCTGTAGTTTGGGGACGCCTGGTCTAAACCAAACAATGTGAAAGTAAGAGAAGTTGTAATAATTTGAGTTCACTTTTAGAACAAAATCACAAGCCAGGTAGACCAACATTCTGTTGGTAAAGTTACAGTATCAGTGCAAGAATTTGAGGTGGCTTGATTTATTTTTTTCTTGATGAGAATATATTCAGATACTCCTAATGAAATGTTCAAGGCAAAAACATTTTGTTTCCTAAATTACAGATATTTTAAAATCAAGCTAATCATTCTATTTAATTTTAAAACTACCTTTTTCATAGTAGGCTGATACTTTAAGAGTTAATTTTTATCATTCATATTAATAGCACTTTAATCTCACACATACCCATAAATTTCACCATCGTAAAAAGCTGGAAGAAAATAACCTGTCATTTTTACCATTATTATATTTTTATTATGATTTTCCTATTGTAAACTTTGAAGACTTTATCTCTGCAATTTCTATTCCTTGCTATTTTCTATGAGAGTAAATTTCATCATATAAGGAGGCCTGCTGAAATTAAGTTTTGACCACTTTTCCTCATAAACTTGCTTGTTTAATCAGATACTTATTTTTTTTAAAAAGTTAAAGATGAGAATGTTTCAGGAATTCTCAAGTTACATCTAATTTTAAAAATAAATACGGCTGAGAAGAAATTGGGACTTTGTAAACATCTTGTAATGATCAATAATGATAATTATTCCTAAGAATTGAATTACATTTTCATATTTTCTAATGTTTCTGTCTGGATAATAAGTACAGTTCACACCTCCCCAGCACCATCAATATATATTTTAATGCAAAGGAATTCTCTGTGGAAGACAGAAATGTTTTAAGACGATTTGCTTATGTAGATGTTACTCTGCCTTTGGAAGATGCTTTGTGGATTATGAAACTTTAAAAATCAGAAACTTTAATAGTCAGAAAACAGAAAAACTTTTATTTATGGCCAGGTGTGGTGGCTCACGCCTGTAATCCCAACACTTTGGGCGGCCAGGGTGGGTGGATCACCTGAGGTCAGGAGTGAGTGTTTGTTTGTTTGTTTGTTTATGAGATGGAATCTTGCTCTGTCACCCAGGCTGGAGTACGATAATGCACTCTTAGCTCACTGCAGCCTCCGCCTCCCGGGTTCAAGCAATTCTCCTGCCTAAGCCTCCCCAGTAGATGGAATTATAGGTGCCTGCCTCCACGCTGGGCTAATTTTTGTATTTTTAGTAGAAACGAGGTTTCACCACGTTGACCAGTCTGGCCTTTAACTCCTGACCTTAGGTGATCCTGCCTCCTTGGCCTCCCAAAGTGCTAGATTGCAGGCATGAGCCACTGTGGCTGGCCGAGGTCAGGATTTTAAAACCAGCCTGGCTAACATGGTGAAACCCTGTCTTTACTAAAAATACAAAATTAGCTGATCATGGTGGCACATGTGTGTAATCCCAGATACTTGGGGGGCTAAGGCAGGAGAATTGCTTGAACCTGGGAAGGGAAGGTTGCAGTGAGCCGAGATCTTGCCATTGCACTCCAGCCTGGGAAACAAGAGTGAAACTCCACCTTAAAAACAAACAAACAAACAAAACCTTTATTTCTAATAAACATTTACAGGGAAAAAAAATCTTTAGGTTTAGGTACTTAAATTTGTTTCTGAAAAACTGATTTTAACATTGATATTATAGCATATGATTAGAATTATCAGCTGGTCATCTATGGCTAAGGATAGGGATGTGTTCTTGCTTTTCTGGTTTTTGTTTTTCTTGCTTGGGTGAGAAATTTGATTAAAAATGTGCTACATTTATTTTTACAAAAATGAAAGAGTAATGTTCATAAATGATGGTCTACTGTTTACCTGAGGAGCTGTGTAGAAAACAGAAATCTTAGTATTGTCTAAGAACTTGTTACGGAAAAAACAATATTAATAGAAGAAAATAATTAAGACCTGAGCATGTCATTAAATTCTCTGAGCTTTAATTTTCTCACTAATTTGCAGAACTATTATGAAGATAAGTGATAATATAAGTATAATACCTGGCTCATAGTAGACACTCAATAAATGAGAATCAATATTGTAATTAAGGCAACTCAAAAAAGTTATAATTACAGATTACAATTACAGGCAAGAATTGGCTGGTTTAAATGAAGTGGTGTCTGAGATTTGCTTCAGAATAACCTGTGTGTGGCAGATTGAGTGAGGCTAGAGCTAATTTAGATTAGGCATCTATCAATCATTGTTGAATCTGGGTGATGTGTATATTGGGTTTATTATACTATTCTCTCAACTTTTGTATATGTTTGAAAATTTTCATAATAAAAAGCTTAAAGCAAAAATAATTGTCTTGTTTAAGAGCAGGGACATAATAGAGAAACTCCAGAAATGTGGGGCTTCACAGGGTTGGAAAAGCCAGCTGCTTTTGCACCCCACCCTTGTAGAAACCAGACTGAAATTGGCTTATCAGGTACAAGTTCCAAGAGTGATAGGCAAAGTCAGTGAAATATGATCTTCTGTCTGTAAATAGTGCCTTGTATATTTTAGGTGCTATTCATTGAATTGAGTTGGCATGGTCTTTTATGAGACTTATATTTTAATCGTTTTTATAATATTTAATTTTTTGCCAAAGAGTTGTCGTGCAGTTTAATTACTATAGGAAAATATGGAAAGCATCTAAAACTGTTTGTTTCCAAGACTGTAATGCTGCTTGGTGCTCTTAAGTCACAGCAAACACAAGAGGGAATCCCCATTAGGAGGCTTGATTCTTTTAGCCTCATTATTCCCATTTGCACCTTGTCCCAGAACCTGTGAAGTGGTGCCTGCCTACACCTCCCCAGAGCAAATGTTGCTGCATTGGCAGGATGTTGCCTTGAGCTTGCATGATTTGATACAACAAAGATGTTTAGGGCCAGGCTGCTTTTAACTGATGCCACGGCAGATTCACTAGATCCAGTGCTTCAATTTAGCCAAAAATGGCTTATAACAAGTATTCTGAGGAGATCCTGGCCAAATAATATGTCATAAAACCTTTCTTTCATTATGAGTATAAAAACTCTTAAAGCTGGTACTTGTAGTGTATATTTGTTGCAGGCAGTGGTGTTTTTTATTCTTACTGAAATCATTCAAGTGGAGGCATCTGCTACAAAACAAAATAGTCTTCACAGCTTAGGGCATGAATTGGGTACAGCTGAGAAATGTCAGCTGTGTAAACAGCCTGAAATGTGTTACCAACAAAAATATAATTAATTTCTTTCCAAGACAATGTGCCATAACTTAATACTTAGAATGGTTGAACTTTCAGAGAAAGCACCTGAACATTTGCTTCCTAGTGCCAGAGTAGAGGATTGGTTATAAAGGTCATTAAAAGTGAGGTCATTTTGTACTTTTACTGCTCAGTTGCTGAAATTTGTGTGGTTTTGACTATATAGTAGCTTTAGATATCATTGGGTTCTATGAATTTATGAAAATATCATAGATCAAGAAGTTAATGGATTTGGGGTGATGAAAATGTTCTAAAAATTAGATGATGGTAAAGGTTGTACATGTCTAAATTTTTTAAAAAATAATTGAACATTTAAAATGAGTGAATTTTATGGCATGTAAATTATCCCTCAGTAAAGCTATTTTTTTAAAAAAAGAAGTTAATGAACTAGATTAAAATACTTTCCCACTTACATTTTATCTTGCATGACAAATACTTTGAAATAGCACAAGAGGTGTTTTGTTCAGTACACTTCTCATTAACCTTTGACTTACCCAACAGGACAAAGAAATAGACCTCTTGTAATCAAATTCTTTTATAATCTTGAGTCTCTTATGAACCTAATAGACTTCAGTCTTGGACATTTTCAGGCTACTCAGTGAAGTCAACGATCATTTACAACATTGTCGCCCATCTCCCTTCAGAGTTAACATATTTTCTTTGCTTGTAGTTGTATGCTAATAGGGTATGGGATACTGTATGAACTGTCAGTAACTCAGTTCCTTTTGTACTCTTTTCATCAGGGAAATAGGTATCTAAAGCTTCACCAGTAGGAAAATATTTTCATGCTGTGACAATTCAGCTGTGAAAAACAAGGAGTTACAAGTAGGCAAAATCTCATTTTACACTTTAACAAGGAAGCTCTTGGTTTCTAGAGAGTAGAAATAATTTTAACACTGTGAATTATGTTTAGACACCTTATTATAATGCAGACAATATGAATACATGTAGTTCTTTTTAAATTCCAGGATTTAATAATGCTTATACAATTAAAACTCTTTCAGTTTTTTGGTTTTATTTATTTATTTATTTATTTATTTATTTATTTATTTATTTATTTATTTATTTATTTATTTTGAGACAGAGTCTTGCTCAGTCACCCAGGCTTGAGTGCAGTGGCGGGATCTCGGCTCA